TTGAAGAATTTGAATTATGGTATTGGCAAGAGTATTGAGAAATCCCGTGGACTGCCAAAAGAACAAACAAGTGCAACCAGGGTGCTCCTTAGAGGCAAGAATGGTAAAATTTCCACCTCAACAAGATAAAGGTAAATAATCCCATTAAAAAATGGGGACAGGATATGAACAGACATTTCACCAAAGAAGACTTTCAGATGGCCAACAAATACATGAAGAAATGTTCAAAATCCCTTGCTCTGAGATGGAAATTATAACAACTATGAGGTATCATCTCACCCCAGTCAGAATATCAAAATTTAACAGAACAGCAAACATCAAATGCTGGTGAGCTTGTGGAGAAACTGGAACCCTTATTCACTGTTGGTGGGAGTGTAAAATGGTGCAACCATTATGGAAGACTGTACGGTGCTTTCTCAAAAAGTTGCAAATAGAAATACCATTTGACCCATCTATTCCACTACTGGGAATATACCCCGAAGAGACCATAACTGACATCCAAGCAGATATATGCACTCCCATGTTTATTGTGGCTTTGTTCACAATAGCAAAGAGCTGGAAACATCCCAAGTGTCCATCAACAAATGAATGGATAGAGAAGCTCTGGTATATTCACACAATGGAATACTACACTGCATTGAAAAACAAGGAACTCATGAAATATTATGCAAAATGGGTCACCCTGGAGGACATTATGCTGAGTTAAATATCTCAGTCACAAAAGGACAAATATTGCATAGGGCCACTGTTGTAAAACAGGACTGACATCAGGGTTGAGGGAAGACAAAGAAGGAGGGGAGGAATGATATACACTGCATTGAAAAAGATGAGGGAGAGAACTGTTTAAAAGGGATTTATGATTAGGTATTATTGTCATGACAGAAGTCCAGAATGAACGCTGCACAGTGGAGTGGACTTGGGGGGAGGGATTGCCTAACAATGAAAGAATTTTTCTTTTACTTTTCAAGAAGAGTGAATTGGGGGGGGGGAGGGAAGTGTAACAATGAATGGAAAACCTAAGTCTTTGTAAACTCATTAAAAATGAAAAAAAAAGAAGAAGGTAACATGAAGGGCCAGTCTAGGAAAAGATACCATGGTGGGAAAGATGGAGGATCAGTGAAGGAGAGGAAGATCCTCACTGAGATGGACCGTCATAGTGACTACAATGGGCTTGATCATGATGTACATTGTGAGGGCTTCACAGGATGGAGCACAGTTCACGGGAGTCATAGTTGACTCAGTGGCACCACAAGACAACAGTCTCACTTTAATCATTTTACCCTGATTTATAACAGTGCCACATTATGATAGAAATGAGAATGCTACAGGGTGTGTGTACACTTTCTGAGCAGGAAAGGCACCGTTAGCTTTGCCTTGCTCAGCACAGCACATGGGCTCCTCGGCCCAGATGAGGCTGTGAGCCCTGGAGGGCACAACCTTGAGTCTGAGCAAGGGTGCGGAGCACACACAACTTCAGCCTTTTGGAAAACCGACTTTCACAAGAATCCTGTGTGGAGTAGGAGAAGGCTAGGATGTCTGTCCAGTGAGCAGAGGGTGTGTCCTGCCCTGGGTTCCTGAAGGCCTGTGATTGGTGATAACACAGCTCCTTGGCTAGTGTCCAGTCAGCTGATCCTGAAGGTATCAGATGGGTATTCAGAAAAAAAGGGTTGTTTTTGTTTGTTTGTTTGTTTTAAATGTATTATTAATTTCAGTAAAAATTTACATTCATTGTTGCACTTTTCTCCCCTCCCAACTCTCCCCCCTAGTACACTACCCTCTTAGAAAAGTAAAACAAAAATTCTTTCATTGTTTTACAAACCCTCCTCCCAAGTCCACTCCACCATGTAGCCTTCGCTCTAGACACCTGTCATGACAAAAATACTAATCCCATATCCCTTTTAAACAGTTTTCTCCCTCATCTGTTTCAATGCCATATACATTATTGAACCCATCTTTCTCAGTCTCTCCCCAACCCCAAGATCAGTCCTGTTTTACAACAGTGGCACCACGCAGTATTTGTCCTTTTGTGACTGAGATACTTCACTCAGCATAATGTTCTCCAGAGTCACCCATTTTGAATAATATTTCCTGAGTTCATTGTTTTTCAATGCAGCATAGTATTCCATCATGTGACTATACCACAGCTTCTTTATCCATTTGTTTGTTGATGGGCACTTAGGTTGTTTCCAACTCCTTGCTATTGTGAACAAATGGGTGTGCATATATCTGCTTGGATGTCAGTTATTATCTCTTTGGGGTATATTCCCAGTAGTGGAATTGCTGGGTCAAATGGTATCTCTATTTGCAACTTTTTGAGAAAGCGCCACACCACCTTCCACAGTGGTTGCACCATTTTATACTCCCACCAACAGTAAATAAGGGTTCCAGTTTCTCCACAATCTTGTCAGCATTTGTTGCTTGCTGTTCTGTTAAATTTTGCTATTCTGACTGGGGTGAGATGATATCTCATAGTTGTTTTTGTTAGTCTGGGCAAAGAGGGCCAAAGAGAAGAATGAAGAATTCAGAACTCAAATGCTGATGGCCCTTGCTATTGAAGATAAGAAAATGGCCTTGCCTGTCTGACTAAGCTAGCAGGTGGCTCGTAAATCAGAGTGGAATGCCCCTCCCTAAAGACTCTGTTTATAAAAATCCTTCCCAGTTAAGTTCACAGTGTGACTTCCCATTCTGCATCTCCAGGATGAGGAACTCACCTGGGAGCTCCCCTTTCCCCCCTTGAATAAAGCTGCATTAAGCTTTCTCTCTTTCTCTCTGATTTCTTCTTTAAGTCCACTAACCTAACCTATGGTGCTGTAAAACCCGGGAGATGAGTTAAGGTGCTGCGCCCCCGCCTTAGGGCGAGTGCTGGCGCCCCTTACTCTCTTCCGAACCAGTCTGTGCAGTGTCGAGATGCCTGAACGGTCAAGTTCTGCTGCTCTCCCTCTCTCCTGTGCTCTGTGTGGGCAGCTGCTGGCCAGATCTCTGCCCCTTTTGTCTTTCTGATCTCTGTGTTCTCCCTCTCCTTCTCCTGGAGGCTCCTAAAGCTAGACCCAATTAATTTCCAGGCATATTAAGCCTTTGTTCCTCTGTTCCAAAGCTTTTAAGCTTTCCAGCCCAAACACTGTGAACCCCCGTGAGAACCCAGATCTGTTCCATTGGCCTTCCATCCCACATACCCACAAAAAACACAGATCTGTGTTGGAAGGCCAACCAGAAATGCCAGGCATTTCTTCCAGGCTATGATGGCTCTGAGGACGCTCAAGCTGTCTATAGCCTCTCTCCACTCCTAAGAGTTCCTGAGACTCCCGGTTTCCAGAGGACTCTCTGGAATTCCAGTTGCCTCACCCACAGATCTGGGAACCATGGAAAGCCAATGTCTATCTAAGCTTTCAAGAGAAGGTCTCTTGAACTGCCTTCTCTTAAATCTCTCACACTTGAGTCTAGCTCAAGACCTCTGCCTCAAGATCCTTTTTCTGTAACTGAGCAGCCACAATACCAGCTAACTAATAACTCTCAGTGGCCTAAGAATAAAACCTTTAGTTCGGCATCTAAACACTTTCTGCCAGTGGACTTAAAAAATTTTCTTTTGTTTCGCTCCCGTAACTTTGTTTCTGTCGCAGTTTCATCACCCCCGCTGCTCAGCATCTCGTCTATAAAGACCGCCCAAATTCTTGCCAAAGGTTTTACTTCACAGGATCAAGAAGATGACCACCTTAATTCTCCCCTGGCCACTAATCCCAGACTGACTCACTCCAGGCTCTGAACCCCTAGATCGTCGCCCCTGTCCAGCAGGAAGTAGCCAAAAGGTACATCACCCTGTTTTATCACTAAAAGAGTCTAAGATGTTAGTCTGGGCAAAGAGGGCCAAAGACAAGAATGAAGAATTCAGAACTCAAATGCTGATGGCCTTCCCATTCTGCATCTCCAGGATGAGGAACTCACCCGGGAGCTCCACTTCCCCCCCTTTAATAAAGCTGCATTAAGCTTTCTCACATTCTAACCTAACAGTTTTAATTTGCATCTTAGAGCTAGGGATTTTGAACATTTCTTCATGTGCTTGTTAGCCATCTGAATGTCTTCTTCGGTGAAGTGTCTGTTCATATCCTGTGCCCATTTTTCTATTGGATTATTTACCTTTAGCATGTTGTGGTGGCAAAAAAAAAGTTTTAGCACACACGCTTATGGACAAAATGTAAAGACACAGTCAGAGGTGCAGCAGTCCCCAGGCTGGCGGAGGCCGGGGGGGGGGTATTCTCACACTCGATAGCTAAGTTAGCAGAACCTGGAGAAGAGGAACACCTCACTGGAGCACTAAGGTGGTCCTCATAGGAAAGGACTGGGGACAGACACAGACTTCTGGGAAGTTATAAGGCAGGACAGCTATCTGTCCATGCTAGTCAGTGCCTGGACACAGTAAGGAAGGGAGAGAGGGAAGGACATGGTTCTGGAGGGGAAGTGATAGAGCTCCCCCCATCCTGAGACACCCCAAATTAGGTCAGCTGACTGCTCTGCAACCCACACAACTTGGATAGCTGTGACAGGAGGGGACAGGCCGTAGTGACTAGAGTTGACTCAATGTACCATTCCTCCTGGCTACATACCTACTGCCACAGAGCAACCCAGGGGCACAATGGCTGTCGGCAACAGTCAGGTTGTGAGGGTGGGAGAGGCCCTCACCCTTCCATTTACTCTGACATTATAATTACAGTTTAGAACAAATTAAAAACACAACAAAGGAGAATGTTTTCAAAGACATTAAAAATATATATTTCAAGGTAATATTTAGTCTTCTTTCAAAGTAATTTTGTTAATATGATAAACATTGGTTACTCATTAGGATGCAATAAACAATTTAGGAAGAACTAGCAGAGAAACTTTCTGACACCCCCTTGTACTCCAAGCATTACAACGTGGAGACATTCATCTTCTGGTCCCAGGTACATGCTCTCAGACCTCAGAATTGTTTTCTTGTATGATCACATGAACCCAAATCAATCCAGGAATTAAAAGTATGTCAGCTCATCATGCTTAGCCTTGTTGGTCTGGTAGCTGGACAAGGTGGGAGCCTTGTTTTCATGAGGGAGACTCTGAAATACCCGCACATGCGTGAAGACATCCTTGTCAACCTGAACCTGGAGAGAGAGAGTAAATGAAGTGAGGGGGTGCCGGCACAACTTCAGATCTACTTCCCTCCCCCGCCCCCCATCACATGTGGGCAGGGAAGGCAAGGGGATGCTGCTGCGGACCTGGAAGCCAGTCCTCTGCAACTGGCTGCCCTCAGGACACCTACTACCATCCTTTTGCAAGCAGACCCTGAAAAAATACTTCACCTTGATAAAATAGTTGGTTCCAGCAACTATCTGAGACTTGAACTCCACAGCATTAAACATTGGGAACTTGGTATTTTCTTTTTCTTCAAGCTGGGACTTTACCTAGAGTAGGGAAACAGAATGGAAAAACTTTGTGGTATCCCTTCTTCTAGAGTCATTTATACACTGAAGGCTCAGTTATCATGCTAAATTTTAGAAATGAAACTCTAATATCAAATCCCTCATATAAAAAAAAATTAATCCTTTACATATTTTCTATAGCAATGGTTGTCCTTTATAACTGAGGAACATAGTAAACTATCAGCTTTCATGATAAAGTATAAAACCAACCACCAAAACCTTAGGTTTCTTACTAATTCTACCAAAGTCCGGATAGTTTTCTGGCATATTACCAGCCTTCTTTTCTAGGCATGGATGTTTTATAGTTCTAACATTAAACCAGGGTAGCCAAGTTTACATCCTGGGTTTTTGTTGGGATGGAGGAGTGGGGTTTTATTTTATTGTTTCACTTAACATGCTATAACAACAACTCTTTTGAAAGGCTACCTAGAACTTTTTAAAGATAACCTTCCGTTTCACACATGTGCTTTCAAATCATCCTAACTGCTACCATTCATTTGGGCATTTAGGTAGTTTCTTTGCAATTGAAAAGCCATTTCTTGCATTTTCCAATGACTTCTTTAGGGTAGCTTAACCCTAAATAAATGTACTTGAATTCAATTCTGTTTTCTGGAGTTTTTGTTTTTAAACAGATGACCAACCAGATGCCAGAAGAGGATTGTAAGTTTGTTTGTAATTAATCCAGGGTTAGAGATGCTCTAGCTGTTCTCTAGGTTGGTGGCACTCACTGAATTCAGACTTCATGCTGCAGTTATGTCACTGAAGTAGTGACTGAGATGTCTGTTAACTTTAGTTTAAAAATCTGCAGAATTTAGATTAAGTTGGGGAATAAGGAAGTTATCTGCTGCGGGAGTCTCCTGGATTTACATGCAAATGAGAAAAACTGGATTTCTTCTGTGTATGGAGAAGTGCAAGATCCCAGAAATCTGGGCAAAGATGGACTACTCCACTAGAGCAACCCCCTTGTTCCCAATGGATGGGGATGGGCCTGTGGGCACTCAGATGGATGCAATGGTCCTCATCCAGACAATGACACCAAGGTTGAGTGAGTGCCAACAACACACTAGCCTGAGGGACACAGACACCCCACTCCCTGTATACTATGCAATTGGGCTCTCTCCATAGCAGGGGCTGTGTGGTGAAGAGTAAGGAACCTGCCAGGTGGTTTAAACATTTTCAGAAGTCTCATGGATCTGACTCACAACCCTTTACTGTCAGGTGACCAAAACCAATTGAGCAACTACAACGTAGGCTAAGCTGCCCACATGCAAGTGAATTAATGAAACACCAGTCAGAGATGAAAGTTAAAGCAGGAAGAAAGTTTGTTTCACTTTTCCCTGGAAGCCCGTTTCTGGTAAAGAATCAATTTTGTTAATATATCATTGTAAATAAATCTGATTTAAGGGTGATAGGGCTTTATATATTAACTCATTTAACCTTCACCCCATTTGGAGTCAGATGATGCTATTACACAGAGGGTTAGATAGAGGTAGAGTTAAGATTAAGCATTTCCTCAGATTTTTTGCCAGATTCTCACTTCACTGCATTCTACTATGATTTTAAATCCTCTATTCTGGTGGCTTAGTGGGTAGGGAGAGCTTTGCTTTCAACTGAAAGACATTTTACTCGAATCCATTTTCATGAGACAAAGAGAGGCAATCTCCATCAGGGAAAATTACTTTCTCTGAAAATCCGCTGAAGGGTCGGCTACGAGTTGGATCTGAATCGACGGTACAGAACACTTCAAACTGCTACTCTGCTTCTGTGCCTGGAGGCCTGTTACTAGAAATGGCCTTGTGTCCAAGCAAAGAATGAAGCAATTTCCTTAGTCTCCACAGATAAGTCAGAAAAGATGAGTATCCTCTCTTCTCATATTCCCCTTTTCCTACTTTCCTTCTTTGCTCACCCTAGCCTGATACTCCATTTTCAGAAACAGCCCTCTGGGACGAACCTGGGGGTACCAGCCTCGACAGCAATTGGAACTTCTTAACAACTCGGCTTTATCCTTTCACTTGTTCCTGCGCTCTCCTTACTAAGGCAGGGCTCGAGCGTACCTGTCTGGATTGATAATCAGAGTAGGATCTCCTTATGAGTTGCCCAGTCAGGTCCTAACAGCAAAACCCCGGATCTCCTTGGACAAGTTATCAGGAGAAGCCAGTGTCTGGGGGCCTGGGGTCCCACCTGGTCGGCGATCTTCTGGATCTCCGCAGTGGCTGGCTTCGTGGCAGAGGTCCCTCCGCACATCATCTTGGCGGCGAGAGTAGGGATGGCCAACACAGAGCAGATATAAAGGACAGAAGCTGTTGTAATGATTGAACAGTGCAAACTTGCCATTCCCCGGCCTAAATAAGGGCGGCGGTCACGTGTGTCCCTGGCCTGAAGTCACGTGAGGTATGGGCTGAACCAAGGAGCGCGGCGAGGGAGGGAAGAGGTGACGCTCAGGGCTCTTTGCCGCCCGTCAGGAATTGAGGTGTATGACAAGGGTGAACGGTGAAGATTTGGGGAGCCTTTCCCTTGAGAGCGCCGTCTCCATATGAGAACCCCGCGTTCTGTAGAGCAACGTCGCCCCCGGTAGATTTTGGTATCGCCCTACCCGGTCGAGAGGGTGTGGCCTGCGTGAGGAGAGTGCAGGCAGAAGGGAGTGCTTCCTCCTGCGTGGGGTTCAGGGTGTGGTCCAGCGTAGCTTGACACCTGACCGCGGTGCTTTCCAGGGCTAGCGGGAAGTGGGGGTACGGGCGGAGGGCCGAGAATGACCGAGACGTTATAGCGAGACGGCTCTGAGAGCTGTCACAGAAGAGAGCCTGGAGGAACCCAGGAGGGTCAGCCTGAAGGCTTACCCTCCAAGGTCAGGAGACACCTGCCTGCCCGGCGTCTTCCCTAGTCTGGGCCTGCAAGGCTTCCCTCATTCTGTTCCAGCCCATGTGCCAGCCTATTGTGCAGGCTGTGATGAGTGTCACGAACAGACTGGTACACAGAGACGCACACAACAAGGGTTAAGCGGGTGTCCAGCGAGGTTTAGGAGACTGCTTGTGGGCGTGAGTCAGTTCAGAGTGCTTACCCTCAGTAAGGAACAGGCCGCTTCTTCATACGGGCCAGAGAGTGGGGCTTGTGCTAGGATGGCATTTCAGAAAATTTTACATTACCACGCTTAACTTCTCCAGGGCTAAGCATTTTTGCCTGGCACTTCACTGGATAGGTCTCAATCCAGGTTGACACTAGGATCTGCCTCGGGGACTAGGAGGGATCTCCGCTTCCCCTGGGCCCCAGGGTGGAGCAGAAAAGACAGGAAAGACACGGGGGTGAGGAGGGTAGTGAGGCTTTCACTTGCCTGCCTGGACAGAACCCTGACTTGTAACTTAAGGTGTTGAGTCTTGGGGAGGGGAGGGAGATGCACCAGTGACTGCTGAATGAACGACAGATCTGACCCTATGCAGATGGAAAGCTACTATGAGTGGAAATAATGACATGAAAAGACAGAAATAAAAGCCAATCTGTTGCTTTCCCCTATCTTAAAGCAATGCCAGACTTGGCTTCTTATCTTTTTTAAATTTTTTAAAATTTCATATTGGTTTGCATGTATACCAATTGACGTATTTCTACTAACAGACGCTGCCCTGGATGTGCTCACCAAGGGTGTCAAGAAATCTGGAGGACAATCACTTGGCCAACCTACTGGAAGACATCTGTATTTGTTCCCATTCCAAAGAAAGGTGATCCAACAGAGTGGAAATTATCAAATAGTATCATTGATATCACATGCAAGCAAGATTCTACTGAAGATTATCCAAAAACGACTGAAACAGCATATCAACAGAGAACTGCCAGAAGTGCAGGCTGGATTTAGAAGAGGCCGTGGTACTAAGGATATTATAGCTAATGTTAGATTGATCCTGGCTGAAAGCAGCGAGTACCAGAGGAATGTATATCTGTGTTTCATTGATTATGCAAAGGCATTTGACTGTGTGGATCACAACAAACTGTGGCTGACTCTGAGAAGAATGGGAATCCCAGAACATTTTCACTAATGTGAAACCTATACTTAGCCCAGGAGGCAGTTGTCAGAACAGAGCAAGGAAACACTGCATGGTTCAAAAATGGGAAGGGTATATGCCATGGATACGACCTAGCTCCATACCTTTTCAACCTATATGCAGAACAGATTATCCGAGAGGCCGGACTCTGTGAGGAGAAGTGTGGCATCAACAATCTGCAATATGAAGGTAATGCTTGCTGAAAATGAGGAGGACCTGAAGTGCTTGCTGCAGAAGGTCAAGGAATGGAGCCTTCAATATGAATTGAGGATCAATATCATGAAGAGAAAGATTCTCACCACTGGGCCAATTGGCAGCATCAGGATGGATGGTGAAGAGATTGAGATTGTTCACAGCTTTAGTCTGCGTGGCTCCACAATCAACACTCTTGGCACCAGCAGCCAGGGAATTAAAAGACGTATTGTGATGGAAAAGTTTGCTGTTAGGGACCTCTCCAAAGTACTGAAGAACAATGGTATCACTCTGGAAACTAAGGTGTGCCTGATACAGGTTATAGTCTTTGCAATCACTTGCTCTGCGTCAGAGAGCTGGAGAATGACTAGGGAGGATAGAAGAATTGATGCCTTTGAGTTGTGGTGCTGGAGAAGAGTATTGAATATACCATGGACTGCTAAGAAAATGAACAAATTCATCCTGGAAAGGGTTAAACCAGGCTGCTCCTTGGAGACAAGGATTCTGAAGCTTGGTCTGACATACTTTGGACATGTAAGGAGGGACTAGTCCTTGGAGAAGGGCATCATGCTTAGGAGGGTGGAGGGACAGCACAGGAGAGGAAGACCCTGGATGAGGTGGATTGACTCAGTGACTGGGGTAATCGGGTGGGTGTGTCAGAAACAGTGAGATTGGCACAGGATAGAGCAGGGTTTAGGGCTGTTGTACATAGGGTAGCTATGAGTCACAGATGACTAGACTGGCATATAACAACAGCAATTGGTTTGTATACAAAATTTGTATACATTGTGCATCTTTCATGTACATTGGATTTCACACATTGTTTCGTTCACATTGTGTTTCAAATGGTCACTCATATATGTTGTTTTATAAAATGAACCACCTGGATCCTTATCTTGCAAAATATTTTGAAAGCTTGTGTGAGTAGGTCCACAGGTGCCCACAGCTTACAAATAGGAGTGTAACACCTGTGAAAATAAAGACACCTTCCAAACGAGACAAACAGGCTATTCAGAGATGCTGTAGCAGAGGAATCAACCACAATCCATGGAGTTTGGCAAAGAATCAGACAGGGAAGGGAATGAGAAAATTTTATGGGGGGCAAAGAGGGGGCTAGGTATTGTAGAGGCAGTATGGGAAAGGTAGAGGGGACACATTAGAAGCAAGTGTCCTGTCATTACTTTTCAATGGCTTGATTGTTTGAGTCCTGTGTGATTGGAGTTGGAGATATATTTTACTTTCTTTGTTTGATTCTGAGTTGGTGGTCTCAAACTCATTGCTGCTGAATTTGAAACAACTCATAGTTGGCCCTTCTTTGAGTTTTAGGACCTGCAGACTAAGGTGCCATGGTCTTCACAATTACTTGCTATGCATCAGAAAGCTAGACAGTAACCAGGAATGATAGAAGGAAAATCGATGCCTTTCAGCTGTGGTGTTGGAGAAGAGTATTGAATATACCATGGACTGCTAGGAGAACAGACAGGTTTGTCTGAGAGAGGGTGAAATCAGGCTTCTCCTTGGAGGCAAGGATTCTGAAGGTCCATCTGACATACTTTGGGCATGTTGCAAGGAGGGACCAGTCCTTGGAAAGGGACATCATGCTTGGTGGAGGGACAGCGCAAGAAAGAAAGACCCTTGGTGAGATGAATTGATTCAGTGTGTGAGGCAGTGGGGGTGGGTATGTCAGAGACAATAAATTTGGCACAGGATAGAGCAGGCTTCAGAGCTATTATTGTACATAGAGTTACTGTGAGTCACAAGCAACTTGACGGCATGTAACAACAGCAACAACAAATCTCACAGTAAGAGAGCTCCCATCTTTCTTTTGAGGGCTCTCTGGTGGATTTGAACCACCAAAGTAATGTAGCATTTGGTTTAGCAGTGTGACTCCCTGTGACTAGGGCAGCAGAGCTCCCTGAGTGGGAAACAGAATCACAGAAAATAAGGTGCTGACAGTCACTCTCTAGTCCTACCATTTTGGGCTCAGTTCATGAGTCATTTGTGGTCTGCTGTTGTCTGTTTGCAAATTCAGTATCTTCATACCTGTTTACTAGAATGAAAGCTAGTTTATCCATGTAGAGCTAAATGTCATCCCTTATGCTATGTGACTGTAGACTAATTGCTGAACTTCACTGTACCTTCACTGAACCTTTCTATGGAAACAACTAATAAAAGTTTTTAAAGTATTATGCCACATTCCTGTAAATAATATGTAAACACCTAACCTGAATAGGAAACACGTGTGAGAGGATTGTACTGTTTGGAAAAAGACAAACACCCAACCTACATATTTCATGCCATATATGATAAAATGGAGTAATGAGTGTGTAAAAGCAGCGTGCAAACTCTAAGATGGGCTGATAGTACTATTACTGTCTATTATCAATATACTAACATTCATCTGAGAGCTAGACAATGAATAAGAATGACAGAAGAATTGATGCCTTGATGCCTTTGAGCTGTGGTGATGGAGAAGAGCACTGAACATCCCATGGACAACCAAAAGAACAAATAGATATGTCTTGGAGAGGGTGCAGCTGGACTGCTGTTTGCAAGCAAGGATGATGGGGCTTTGCCTCACATACTTTGGGCATGTTGTTAGAAGTGGCTATTCTGGGGAGCTCTGGTGGCCTGGTGGCAAGGAGCTGCAACTACAATCCCAGAGGCACATGCTTCGAATCCACCAGATGCTTTGCCGGGAAAAGGAGGGACAATCTCCTCCTGTACCAGTCAGATCTGATTTGACGATACACACACACACACACACACACACACACACACACACGCACACACTTAAAATTAAAAAAATTTTTAAAAAGTGGCTATTCCTTGAAGAGGGACATGATGCCATGAAGGATGGATAGTCATCTAAAGAGAAGAAGACACTTGATCAGGTGGATTGACACAGTGACTGCCGTATTGAGCTCTTTTGTATCAGGTACTGTGAGGATGGCACAAGATAGAACAAGTTTCAATCATTTGTTCACAGGGTCACTATGAGTCATACTCAATTTGACAGCACAC